CATATGAGGTTGGTCAATACTTGTATGAAGGGTAGTCATACGCGTAAGGGGTGACATGAGGGAGTTTGGAGAGGTGTCAGACTCTGCCATTACGCGTAGGGGAGTGTCCATACGCATATGCTAGCAGGGTAATACGCGTATGGGGAAGGGTGTTACGTGTATGGGCAGACCTGGGATGACTTTTTCCCATTTTCGCAATTTCTGCCCAGATTTCGCTTGGAACGCAATTTTGTTTTATCGGCAGGATTAATATGACTAAAATGAACCTAAGGAAGATTAGTAATGAATTTAATTATAGAGAATGTGAAAAAATACGATTTTTCCCTTAAGGGTGTGATTGATATGTGTGGGTCAGGACCGTCCAGTGTGGACGATCTGATGTGATGATGGTAATTCTTGAGAGGATTACGGTGAGCGGATGGCTCGTGTGGATCATTGATGATCGTGAATTATGCTTGAAATTATTATTATTATTATATTTGCATAATGGTGTTGTCATGCATTTCATGTCACGTGTCTTGTGGAGATGACTAGGTGGGAATCCATGACGGGTGCCTAGTTTCATCCGGACTTCATGCGGAAGTGGTTGTGGAGATAAGTTGTAGTTAAGAGGAACGTATACGATTTATCCGGATTCTGACGGGAATCGGGTTCTAGGGTGAACCGTATGTATTTGTGTTGGTACCACATGCATTGTGTCGAGTCAGTGAGTCACATTGCATATTTGTATTTGATATGGTTGTTGATGCCGAGTGATTGAGGTGGCACATGTATGTGCGTTGTATGTGTATGATTGTATGTGTGGTGTGTAACTACTCCTTAACATGTGTATTTCCCCACTTATTTATTGAATGTAGTTCTCGCCTCTTTCCTGTTTGTTGTGTCTGTGCTTAGAGCTTATTGTTATTCGATCGAGTCCTAGGAGTCACTCTGATACGTAACATGGGATGACGAGATTACGTATTTTTTTCTTTTTTTCTTGATTAATTGTTACATATCTTTTAATTGTTGGATTAAGGATGTATGATCACCTCGTGGTGGAAACTATGATTAAACAATTGACTTTATTCCGCTATTTAATTGAAAGCTAAATAATATTGGTTTATTTATGAAGAATGTAGTGATTTAGTGTGACATCCTACTCGTTTTGAGAACTCTGATGTACTTTTATGTAATATTTCCGTATATGTTTGATAAATACGCGTACGGGGTAGAGTGGGGTGTAACATTACTCCCTATTTAGAGATTTGGGTTTGTTTGCTCCTTAAGCAAAGCTCAAAATACCTAATGTTATGGACTGGACTGACAGGTGGCCCACGGTTAGGCAAGACCCAATTCAGTCCAGCTTTAGGCAAGACCCAATAAGGAGATTAAGACAATCTAGTCGTTGGGCATAATCTATCCATTAAGCGCAATCTATCCATTGGGCACAAGATAATTGTTAGAGCATTATAGCCGTTGGGGACCTCCCCCTAATGCGCTTCATAGCTCACGCGACCAACTGCCCCTCTGAAGTTCACGGGAACAGTTGGACCAGGTCGAAAATCACGCGCTAGAATCTTACTTGCTCCTTGCAAACCTGACAGTCTTTCATTGGTGGACCAGATATTTTGCCTCACAAAGAGGACCTTGGCCCCGTGCTGGTGGTTTCTTATAAATACCCTTCCATTTGAGAGGGTCAGGTATCCAATTCATTATGATACAAACCTAAACATTTAGCATCGGATTTCCTTGTAGGTACACCCTCTCATCTTCTACAACCATCATTGTTGCCCTATGTTGAAGGCCACGATGATCCATTCTAATCATACCAGATGAGTGGCGCCGTCTATGGGAACTCTTCTCCTCCGTCTTTCTTTAACCAAGATCCCTAATCTTTTCAATCCAAATACCAAAGCTTTTTTTCTAAACCTTCCTCGATCATCATGGCCTCTCATCGTAACGATGATGTCCCTCAAGATTATGTCATTGTCATCGCCTTAGATAACATCAATAACCCTAATCTTGGAGCTGTGGTCTATGAGACCAATCACAGAGATGGAAAGACTGCCTCTCCATCCTCCGACAATTTGAAACCCGACATCTAGAATTCCGATCACATCTACGAGCCCATCCTCATTCCTTAAGACATTGATCCCAGCACTGCGGCTCTCATCGTCGCCCTCAACAAATCCAACTACATGATTTTCCAGCACAACAAGAATATCCACATGCTGGAAAACGCCCTTCAAGAACGACCTCCCCCGCAGAGACCTTATAGTTCTTCTCCCTGTTCTCGTCCACCCCATCTAAAACATCGGCAAAACGAGTCTCAAAGCATTTCTCCAATCAAGGAACAAATCAAATTGGAGAAACCTGGGCAAGAAATCACAAAGAAACGACATCATACCTCTCCCTGAAGAACAAGACATTCTTCAGCTCCCAAGACCAGGGCTTCGGAGAAACCTCGTGAACGTCCAAGTCAGCATAAACATTCTCCTCAACATAACAGAAGCCCTCGTTGTAGTCGTTCCCCATACGGATTGTCGAGCACCAGTGATGAAGACTATGTGCATAGGCCTCTATCCCAGGAAATCATAGACACCTGTATCCCTCGCGGGCTGGAGAAGCCTCATCCTCTGGCTCTCGACAATGGCACTACGGATACCAGCGACCATATAGAGAACATTAAATCCATGCTTCATTATCACAACATAGGCGGAGTAATCAAGTGCAGATTATCCCCCATCATTCTTTGAAAGGGAGTTATGACCTGGTACAAAAATCTTCCCCGAGGCTCGATCACATCATGGAGAAACCTAAAAAATCTGTTTTCCCGACATTTCACTGTCTCCATGCATCATCCCAAGTATGAGGCCATGCTCGAAAGCATAATTCAGGGCTAGGATGAGCCTCTTCATGCCTACATCGATAGGTTTAACAGGGAAGTAGTTGAGATCCACACAACCAACCACATGAAGAAGTACCTCCTCGAAAAGGGGCTAAGGCTGAATAGTGATTTCCGCGAAGCAGTGGGGATCGAAATGCCTCGTCCTCTGGCCGAACTCCTCCATAAGGCCCAAGCTTAAATCCAATATAAGGAAAAATAAGCCGCTTACAAATCCTGGGATTCGAGGAACCAAGAGAATTCTAAGGTGTCAAAAAGGATGAGGCAAAAGCTCCCTGGCGTGACAAAGAAAAACGACGAGATGACCATCCCCGTGAATATAAAGGACCTGCTAGTCCCTTTACTGAGTATACCTTGCTGACAGCTCCCTACAAGCGCAACCTTTCTGAGTGCATCAACACTTAGTTCAGACAAGGAGGAGTCTGTTTCCCCAAACCAACAACGTCGAAGGGCAACATCGACCATAGCAAGTACTGTCGATTTCACCATAGTCATGGGTACGTTACTGAATATTGTGTCCATTTGAAAGACGCAATCAAGATCCTCAAAAAAAAGGTTCATCTTAAGAAATACACCAAAAGAGGCGAAACTCCTTGATGGGATGCATCTGAGCCAAAGAAAATAGAGACCAAAATGTCGCCCTCTGAAAGCCCTCCTCTACAGATGGCTATGTGCGTCTCACGGCCATAAGACTTCTTCATTCTCGACTACCTCGAAGACCCCCCCTTATTTCACCACTCACAGCACATCGGAGTCCTTCCTTTTTGCCATGGTCATCTCTAGCGAGGGATACAACGAGCTCACAGTGGGTTCAGTGAAAAGGAAATTTGAGCAGCTGATAGATGCTAGTCTTGACCAACTGTCAACGCTCGAGAAATTCTGGGGATATTCGTAACCCATTGCATTTTATCACAAAGAGCTCCCTGGAGGATCTCCTAACTCGCATGTCCCTCTGCTCATTAGGGTAAAGTTTGCGCATACTGATGTTCGTCGTATCCTTGTCGATCAAGGAAGCTCTGTGGATATTATGTGTAGCAGTTTATTTCATACCCTCAAGCTCGACCAGAAGAATATGTCACCATATGTAGGTTCTGAACTTCAAGGGTTCAATGGGACTACGGAAAGACCATGGGGGTATGTCGAGTTCTGGGTTACTCTCGGGGAGGGAGAGGTCTCGAAAACTATCAAGATGCAGTTCCTTGTCATCGACTGTTTTTCCCTGTACCAGTGCACTCTAGGTATGTCGACCCTTGCTGAGTTGATCGTTGTGCCATCCATGGTTCATCTAAAGATGAAGCAATATACAGAGAAGAGCCGTGCCACCACCTTGCATGGAGATATCGAGGTTGTGAAAAGATGCTTTGGAGCAGCCACTAAGGCGAAGAATTCAATAGACGCAACATCAAAACCTGTCCACAAGCGAGCAAGGGATGAAGAACTTCCCAATGAAGGCCAAACCGAAAAGAAGTATGCAGTACAGATTAATTTCATCGACCTCGATTATCGTCTATCTGAAGAATATAAGGAAGATTGTGAAGCAACGACCAGCAGTTCACCGGCTTCAAGCATGCCTCTCCCTTTACGCCTTAATCCCAACGAGAACTTTGAGGTTGTCACGTTCGGGACAATCATAACAGAGGAGTGAAAATAGGTGCTAGACTGCCCGACGAGTGAAGGAACAACTAAAAGCCTTCTTGAAAGAAAACGCAGACTTATTTGCCTAGAGCGCCGCGAAGATGCCTGAACGTTTTTTTTTACTGAAATGCCATAATTTGAAATATTGATGTACCAAACTGCCACAACATGAAATTTTTTTACCAGAATGCCATAAATCATTTTAGGGGTCGTCAAATCGAAGGACAAACCAATGATGTAAAATTCGGTCATGAAGGGGCCCGACCAATGGTTGGCCGAACCATTGAAGGAGATTTTTTGTTTTTGTTTTTTTTTGTTTTAAAATATAATTATATAAGTTTTTTATATTTTAATATATTTAATTATTTTTTAAAGATTAAAAACTATTTTGATGTTTTAAAATATTTAAAACTTAAATAATAGATATTATAATTTAATAAATATTTTAAAAATTAATTTAAAAAACAAGCAAATTAATCTAGACGGGCCGATTTGACGGGCCTGCTACATTCAGACATTTCCTATGCATATGGCCAATTTCTCGACAAATTCCACATTTTCTCTTTTCTTTCTCAAGATTGTCCATTTTGGTTCTAATTCTTGTACTATTTGGACACCCTTTCTTATTCCTTCGCATTGTCTCGTTATGGAAAAGAGTAAATCTTTCATATATTAGCCAATTTTCGTGGTGTAAAAGTCCAAGGAAGCTTTCGTTGTAGACTTTGAATACACTCAGAACCTTGAAAACATCTGGTATATGCATGTTGTGGTCCTGCCGTATACTAGCACATGATGCGATTACATGGGAGCAAGGTAAATGAAATGCTTGAAACCTCCCACAATCGCACCATCCTCTCCTGAGATCAACACTAAAAGTACCTAATGATCGGCCATCGTGTTGATTAATCTTTTCGGCAACTATAAAACAGAATCTTTCGCGATCAAATTGGATGACATTATGGCTGCTGAATTTACTCGTTTTATCGGTCATTTCCTTATTACAGTTATCCGTGAAAGTTTGATCGGATGCCAACATTTTTGTCCAATCATGTCCTCATTTTCAAAATAGCGATCCCAGACGATAGAATGTTGACTTGACCACTGCAGTAATAGGAAGGTTTCAGGTAGCCTTAAGTACCGAGTTCATAGCTTTGACCAAGTTTGTTATCGTGTGTCTCCACAGTTGTCCTCCGCCAAACACCCTCAACCACTTCTTTCAGGGAATACCGTTTATCCACTCCAAAACTGCTCTATTTGTTCTTAGTATTTCACCTCAATAGTAGTTAAATGTTGCTTCCGTTAATGCATATCCTATAGCAAAGATGTTAAGTAAAAATGTTCAGTAAAACATGTGAAAATCAATTAGTCAATAAATATTTATTGAAACATTAACACGTAAAGATGTAGGCGTACCCATGTTAACAACTGTTTTCCATAGCTCTTTGTCTCTGAACTCACGCGTGAAGTTTTGCGCAATGTGTCTGATATAGTAAACATGTGAAGATGAAGGATAATGTCATCCACTTTCAGGATCATCGTAAGCACTCTTAATTGATGGATGTCGGTCAGATATGAGACACAGATTGGCCTAGGGGTCACATTCATTCTCAAATTCCCGAGAAAGAAGCTTCAACCATCCTTTGTCTCACCTCCAACCAATGCGAATGCTATCGGAAAAATGTTACCATTTCCATCTTGTGCCACAACCATCAACAAAGTCCCTTTGTACTAGCTGTACAACCATGTTCCGTTAATTTGCACAATAGGTCAACAACACACATTCTTTGCCACCTCCTCTCAACAACCAACACCATACACCCTAACCTTTCTGTCACACCCTAATTTTTGACCTTAAGATCCCACCTCTTTTTGCGCTTTTTCTATTGTTATTTAATTTTATTTTAATATTTATGTTTTGCGACTAACAAACTCTTGCAGATGCAGCGATTCCAAATAGAGATGATTTTCACAATTTAAATACCCCAAGACGTGGTCAGGTAGAATTTTAAGTTGTATCCATTTTTCAAAGGATCACTTAGGACATGGTGTCATTATGTTCAAAGAAAGAATGAAGACGTTCTTATTTTTGGTTTATGATCAATTTGTTTCGAGATGTTAAGATTACAAAGAACACTTTTAGGAAGTTCATGAATCTTGATCTTCACGGGAATCTAAAAGCTCAAGCTCCCGACTATATCGAGATTTTCCCGAGTCGCCATTCATTCACGAGTATTATTTGCAAAGAGGGTTGCATTATGAGTGGGATTTAGTTCACCTCAAGAACCTCATCATTGTTGAAGGTGAATACTTGCTATTTGGTTATTAAATTTTGAGGAGCTTTTGTTGGAGTTGTCCTTTTTCCAGAATATGACTAAGGAAAGTTGCTACTACTATACATTAGACCACTGTGCAAGCATTACTATGGCAACGACGGAGAATCCAACTGATGGATTTTCGGATTCCTAGTCCACCATATCATTGCTTTGACAGTAGGAGTGTAAAAGATTGAATTAGTACAAGGATAAATAAAGACATAATTTACAAGATGCTTAATGTGAAGAAACTCTTGAAAAGCAATCAACAAAGCATTAGTTACAAGATATATTTTGAAGTCTTAAATTATGGATTCAGCAAGAACTAAGAAACAACCGGCCAACATCTATCACTGGGCCGTAAAATTCCAGACAGTATCATTTACAAAAAAAAGGTGAAGAAAGAAGGTTCACAAAATCAGGAAATTGTAGGGGAAGCAGGGAGTTTGCCAAATTTCTTCTCCCTCCCACGCCGTGAAGTCGCGATAACAGTTGATTAACGACAAATCTCTATTCGGAATACATAAACCGCTGCAAATTCCTCTCCAGAACTTCCAACAAAGTGAGGATCATCATTTGTGATAGCCCTTAAGCTAAGTCAAAGAAGAAGAACCAGATTATGCACACGAATTGCCACAATACGTAGAATCCGCCGTAAACCGCAGTTGACAGCCCTGTGAATCATCAAGCACATTTTTTGTTCCAGAAGTATTTCTGAAGCGAAATCATGGCCTGTTTTCAGAATAATAAATCGGATGTGAAGCCGTTCAGTTCAAAGTTGAAAGAACTGTGATGGAGAAGAAGTTGAAGGTGTATGCAGATTGTATGTCCCAACCATCTCGAGTAGTTCTTACTTTCTGCAGGTTGAACGAAATTAAGTTTGAGGAGATCAAAATTGACACATCCAGATGCCACCAACTATCTCCTGAATATACATATGAGAGCCAAAATTTAGTCAGTATTGGATTAGCATCACTCTAATTTACGATATATGTAACACCCTAAATTTAATTGGAATATTTTAATTAACTTATTTAATTAAGAATATTTATTTTTCGATGATTTTTGGTGGTTTTGTGAATTATGGAGAATTTAATGGAATTGATTTATTTATTTTTGAATAATAGTATATAATATGAATATATTATTATTATTATTATTATTATTATTATTATTATTATTATTATTATTATTATTAATTAAAATAAATATAAGTGAAATAAGGGTAAATTGGACATTTGGAGGAGTTAGTAAGGATATTATGGGAAAAGCCCAAATTGGGAGTCCCAAGACTAAGTGGGACAAAATTGAGTTCTGAAGGAAAATTAGAATTCATTTGTGTTAACCGTGAAAATATGGTGGCCAGAGCTCTGAAGAAAAGGTTGGAGGCAGAAGATTCCCGGAGACAATCGTGAAAGCTTTGAATAAGCTAAGGTATGAGGAGTATGGCTTTTCATGATTTTCTATGTATGCCTTTAGATGTGTTTATGGTTGGTTTGTGATTTAAGGTATTTTGGGTTGGTTATGGGAAAATAGGGAATTTGATGATAAGGCTTTGAGGTTAGGGGTAATGGTATGTAACACTTAATATTGATATGAGAAGGGAAACCTTAGGCCTTCATGGCCAAAACCTTGGATTGTGATATGTTTGACTTTGTAGGAATAGGAATATTCAATGTGAGTGACTCTGATGCACTCAGAGCAATTGCAGGAAAATAGTGTTTTAGGTAGTGCAAATGTTGTCAGACTGGCCTAATAAACCATAGATTTTGTGCCATTATCGTCGTAAGACCTTAGGGATGATTTAGGGATGTTTTGGAGGCATTGGGAAAGTGAATCGTATGGACTTTTGGGTTGATTTAGGTTCCGGAGCGTAATAGCGTTTTGCTGTCCGTCACGACTGTTCATATTTTCGGTCGAAATCGTTTTGAACGTAACTTTTGATCCGTAAGTTCGTTTTAACCCCCGTTCGAAGCGTTGGAAAGCTAATGAACAGGGCTATAACATAATATAGATAAGGGAATTGGTTTCCCAATATTTTTATATCTAATTATGTGTAATACCCTAATTTTTACCCCTAAGATCCCACATTGCATTTTTATTTTTTGCATACACAAACAACACCACTTTTTTGATTTTTCTTAGGTCCCTTGTTGTTTTTTTTTTACTTTCTTTATGTTTGTTTCTGTTTACTAACATCTAACCAAAATATCAAAAATATTTTTCAATTTGTTTGTTTCTTCTTCTTCTCTGTGTGTTTAGGGTTTTGCAAGGAGATTAATGGCAAGGACATTCGTTCGAGTCTAAATCAGATGGAAGTTTGACCTCATCTTGGTCAAACTATCAAGGGATTACTTCATTTACAAGTTATGTATCAGTGGTCTATTTTCTCAAGAGATGATTGTTCAAAGTCAAGTGGTCTTATGGAGAATCATCAGTTTGTCGAGCAGTGTTCAATAAGAAGTTTGGTCCAAACTAAAGGTGCAAGTAATGTCCTGGTACATGAGTAGTTGTGTTCATTTTTATCAGAGGTGTGTGGAAAATAGTCAAGTTGGTGTTACAACGAAATCAAGAGCTCATGGTTGCGTGTCTATAAAGGAGGAGATTCCTGGGGTTACTTCGCCTATGGTTTATCTTGCTATGTTTTTTAGCTGGTACTTGGACTGCTGCTCGTTTTGATTCTTTACCTCACGTTGTTCATATTTTGACATCAAAAGACCGTGAAGCTGCTGCCCAATTTTTGAAGGAGCAGGGTGATGTTATTGAGGAGGTTGTGGATGAAGTTGTACAATCTTATCATAATGGTTTCAACAGAGCTATCCAAAACTATTCCCAGATCTTGAGGCTTTTTAGTGAATCCACTGAAAGCATCACTGCTGTTAGAAGAGAGATGCTGTGAAGAACTTGTGGCTGCTGGGGCCATTGAGACCTTGCTGCGCCTTATTGGATCAATGAGCAGGAGTATCCCTGATCAAGAGGTTTCAAAACATGTATTATCAACTCTTGGAAATCTTGCTCGCTATCCTCATCTACTAGAAGTGTTGAAAATTCTCCTGCAGGATCTTACTGGAGTCCCAGCTGTTGTTGATCTGGCTTGCATGCGTGATGCTTGGCAGTGTTTCTAATAAGATCAACCCTCTGGTTCCTGTTGATCTTGTTGTTGATCATTCAGTTCAAGTTGATGTAGCAAGGTTAGAGAGTGTTGTGCAGACAAATATGAAGCTTGAATTCCAAAGAAACCGGTCGACATGTTAGGATGTTGACTCATGAGATTAGAAGTCCTCTTGATAGACATACAATACTGAAAACAACACTTGTTGAACTCGGGAGAACTCTTGGACTAGAGAATTGTGCGAGGTCTAACATATGTCCTTAAAAAGCTTCCAATTTATGCTAAGCAAGGAGCAGGAAGAGACAAGTCAAAGAAGCAAAGAAAGAAACACAGCAACAAAACATGATTTCTCAGTTCTTCGTCCTTTCCCAAAGAGGCGACAACATCGTCTTCCGCGACTATCGTGGTGAAGTACAAAAGGGAAGCGCTGAAACGTTTTTCCGAAAAGTCAAGTTCTGGAAAGAGGACGCCGATGGTGATGCTCCACCTGTTTTTAATGTATATGGTGTGAACTACTTCCATGTCAAGGTTGCGGGGTTGTTGTTTGTTGCTACGACTAGAGTTAATGTTTCTCCTTCTGTTGTTTTGGAGCTTTTGCAAAGAACTGCAAGGGTTATTAAAGATTACCTTGGTGTTCTTAATGAGGATTCTTTTAGGAAGAATTTTGTGCTTGTCTATGAACTGCTTGATGAAATGATTGATTTTGGTTATGTGCAAACGACGTCTACGGAGGTTTTGAAGTCGTATGTTTTCAATGAGCCGATTGTGATTGAGACTGCACAGATGCCACTTGGTCCCACTTCGATTTTTATGCACGGGAGCAAGCGAATGCCGGGTACAGCTATTACAAAATCTGTTGTTGCTAATGAACCTGGTGGGAGGAAGAGAGATGAGATCTTTGTTGATGTAATTGAGAAAATAAGCGTCACATTCAATTCTAGTGGATATATACTTACTAGTGAGATTGATGGCACCATTCAAATGAAGAGTTATCTTACTGGTAACCCGGAGATTCGACTTGCTCTCAATGAGGACTTGAGTATAGGAACAAGTGATTATAGAGGTTCTGGTGCTGTGATTTTAGATGATTGCAACTTTCATGAGTCTGTGCACCTTGATAGTTTTGATGTTGACCGAACTTTATCTTTGGTACCACCAGATGGTGAATTTCCTGTCATGAA